GATATATTGCAGCATCAGGGCCAAACTGGGAAAGGGATTATTAGAATCCCCACCCCCCAGCCAGCTCCTGGCAGCCTAAGAAGCTGGATTTATTTCCCGGGGCTACAGAATGCCAGGCAATTAGGCCTCTGTCTGCCCTGGTTTCTGCTGGGGGGCATTCAGAGCAACTCACCAAGCAGGAGCACGAAACCAGGCCTAGCCAGGAGCTCTGGTCCCTCCCCACCCATCCCTTGGGTGGCATCAGCCCCCGGGAGATATACACAGGCACAGAAGAACCAGGAAGGGGCTTCAAGGGAGGACCCTCCAAAGAGCTTCAGAGGGCCCTGCCCAGGTCCAGGGTGGAGGCTGCAGCCCCTGTGACACCCACCCATTCTCCCTAAAGCACATTCACAGAGGGTCACCCACGAGCCACTTCCCCTGGGTGTGGCGAAGCCATGACAGGTGCTGCCAGTATGTTCTGAGAGATGTGGGGATGTGGGGTTCCAAAGGCCAGTGACAGCATGGCTTGCAGCCACAAGCCCTCAGCTCCCAGTGAAGTATCAACTCCATTTTCTCCTCCTTATTGCAACCCTGCCACTGCTACCACCCCATTTCTGTGGGGGAGTAAAACCCAGAGCTCCTCCTTCACCCCTGCTGGGTCCCTTTCTCTACAGCACCAGAGAAGAGAATGACACACCTCGAAAGTTTGTAGGGAGGGTGGGTCATCCCCAAGGTTGGAAGATGGTCTCTTCTTACCCAAGACCAAAGGCACAGCCACATCAGTCATCTAATGGGACCCCCAGGGCATGGATTTGTACCACTGGATTTTAACCTGCAAGCAAGGTGAAGCCCAGGAGTGTCTAGCCCTTGCCTGGATGGGTCTCAGATAGAGGCAGGGCGGAGGTCAGGCTCAGCTCCCTCGGCCAGCAGCACCTAATTGCATCTGGCTGAATCCAACCACGTGCTAGAGCCCACCTCCAGATGGCTTCCCTGCCAAGCTGCCCAGGGTTTCTGAGTCCATCCTCACCCGACACACCCACAGGGCTGGGAGCTGGTGGCCAGCTGGGAAACTCCTCTCCTCTTCCCTCTTGACCACCTCTAGTGCCCAACCCCAGCTCTAAGGGTGACCCTGGAAGTTCCACCACTGAGGCGGCAACCTCTATTGCCAACCACAGCCAGGGGCCTGGGAAGCAGGTTAGGAGTGCAGTGTGCACCTGTCCACACAGGTGTGCCTGCCTCCTCCAGATCACCTACACCAGAGGACTCACCACGGGGCCTCTCCCACCCGAGACAGCAGCACAGCCCTGAGTAGCTTCTCGTTTGTTGTCTTCTCATGTCTGTCCTTCTTTCTAGTCATTCCCTGGGCAAACCAGGAGGGAGCAGGCCCAGGCCCTGCCCTCATAACAACCCCGCAGGACACAGAGAATCAGTCCTCAAGGCCAGCACAGGCCCAGGGTGCTGTATGAGCCCAGGGGAGGGAGAAGGGAAGGAGGGGAGGGAGGGGAAGGAGAGCTGGCTTGATTTTGGTGGAGGGGGTGGGGGGCATGTACCAGGAGTCAAGAGGCCCAGAGGAGACAGGAGCACATTCCAGGCAGTGGGAGGGGCAGGAACCAAGACATGGCGCTGTTATCTGGGAATAGGAAAAGGCTGGGTGACTGGGTGGAGGGGTGGGAGGATGTGGGGTGGACTCCTCTGCAGGGCAGGAGGGGCCCTTCACAGCCCACCATGGGGGGGCACGGGCGGGGCAAGGTCACTTCCACTCATTGGCAACCCCGCTCCTGGGCACAGCATGGGAGGAAACTCTGGAAATGGCTGCAATGGGGGGCTGGGGGGGATGGGAGTCATGCTCAGAGATCTCCTTCTCTCAATCTCTTGATCACACCGTCTACGGGACTCTGGGTCCCTCTCCTTGCCTATTCCCTCAAGCACCCCCCAGGCCCCAGCCCACTCTCACTCACGGGCCCTAGCAGCACCCTCTGGGTTCATGCACAGAGGTCCTCAGTGCCCCGCTAGGCTGAAGTCCAGGGTGCTTGGCCCGGCCCCGACACACCCCACTCTGGTGAGGGGGGCTCACTAAGCTGCAGATCAGCCAACTCTCCTGGGTTCACCAATGGTCACCTGGGTGGTCCTGGCTGTGTCAGTTCACATCTGCTCCCTGACAGTCTGAGGGCCCCAGGAGGGAGGGGGAACCAGGTCTGATGCACCTATCAGACTCCAGAGCAGGTACCAGCTCTGTTCATTGACTAAGTGACCAGCGCATCCCAGACAAACCTATTTGTTGTGGAATAGGGCAGGGGACAGAGGCCAGGGGTCTAAGCAGAGGTTAGCGCAGGCTGTGCCTTTCATCCTGCAGCCCTGTCTGTAAGATGGAAGGGATCGATTAAGGTCATAACAGCCATCAAAGGCACAGGTACTGTTGAGGTGCAAGAGAGCTGACAACTGTAATCTGTTCTTTCAGAGTCTCTGGCTGGGAAGTTCCTCCAGGTATCTGACCTATATCCCCGCCACTGCAGGGAAGCTGGTTTTGCCACTGTGTTGACTCCCGCAGACACAGTCTTCACGGGGCCCAGTGGGTACAGCCTGAGAACAGTCTTCTGTCCTATCACGTCCCTAATTGGTAGTATTAGAGTAATGAGTCACAGACAACAACCAATTAATTATCCTCAGTTATAAAAAGCTTCGCTTCCCCTTCCTGGCTGTCAGCGAGCCGGCCTCCTGCTGCCAAGGCTGCTCCATGCTCCCTGCGCAGGGGGCAGGAGAGGAGGTCACTTCACCTCTGAGGTCCCCCATTTCCTGTTTCTGTATTTGTCCAGTGTGTGTCCTGGGAAGGGGCAGCATGAGCAGAGCTTGAGGAGGAGGGACAGCGGGGCCTGGGGCCGGCGGGAAGGATGCAGAGGGCTCCACCTGGCTCCACGGGGCACCCCTGCAGGACGCAGGCCATGCCGAGGGTCCCAGCCTGGCAGCAGAGGACACTCCCCACATGTCCCAGGGCTCCTCAGGCAACTCCTCGCTCCCCTGCTATTCCCCATCTTCTTTATTTGGGGGCACCAGGGATTGAACTCAGGGGCACTCGACCACTGAGCCGCATCCCCAGCCCTATTTTGTATTTTATTTAGGGACAGGGTCTCACTGAGTTGCTTAGGGCCTGGCGTTGCTGAGGCTGGCTTTGAACTTACAATCCTCCTGCCTCAGCCTCCCAAGCTGCTGGGATGACAGAGGTGCACCACTGCCCAGCTCCCCCTGTCCTCTCCTTCCCTTGAGCCTTCACTCAGACACACATCCTCAAGGCACTGGGCTCCCCAGGAGGGGAAGGTGCATGTGCTCATGGAGGCTCTTCTCCTCAGGCAGTTCTCCTCTCCCTTCCCAGCACTTCCCAGGTCACAGAGGCCTCCATACGGTCAGCAAAATCCACGGAGCCCCTACTCTGCACCTCCTGTCACTGTGCCAGCCTGGCCTGGGCTTCCTGTGGCTCCTTCAGCCTTGGCCCTGTCCCTGGATCCCCAGAGCCTGCCCCACTCCAGCTCCCACGAGCAGCCTCGAGCCCCTTCCTCCACCCAGAACCCTGTGCCAGCCACATCCAAGACCCACCATGTTCTGAGTCCAGATAGGCTGGCCTGGGCCACCAAGGGGCACACCATGTCCTGGGAGAGCACTTCCCTCCAGGACTGCACTGGTGGCCAAGGGGCTTGGAGCTCAGCCGTCCTCTGCCTCGGGGTTGCCCTGGCTGTCTTTCCACCCCCATCTCCATAGCTGTCGGATCAACCCCTGGGGCCGGTGCTGGGCTCTTCCTGGCAGTGGGGCTGGGGGACTCTGGTCTAGTCATTCCCTCCCTGGCTTGTTTCACAGGCCTGCTGAGAGGAACAGAGACGGTGTGTGTCAGCACAGCGCTGCCCAGAGCCAGTCGCTCCCCATCCCTCATCTCCCATTGCTGGCCATGAGCAGGGTGTTGTCACCTCTAGTTCCCAGGTGAGGCAGCTCAGGGGGGAAAGGCCTCCTAGGCTGGGGCCTGGAGGGGGGTGCGGGGGCTCCGGTCCTAGGACTGCAGGGGCCTGCTGTGAGGCCCTGAAAAGGCCTCAGCCTCTCTGTTGCCTTGGTCTGGCCACATTGTCTTCTCTGTCCTGGGAATGGGGACATGGGCAAGGAATCTGTCCTGGTGGCTACTCTGGTGGTCCCTTGCTTTTCATGGATTGGGAGTTACGAACCCAGACTCCTGTCTCAGTGTCCCTTACCAGCATAAGCAGAAGAGAGCAGACGAGATAGCCTGACCTCTGCCTCCAGACAGCCCGCTGACTTAGCCTCCGACCTGGGCGGCAGCGTGCCTAGGCACTGAGGCTTGCCTGGGGCTGCCTGAATTACCAGGCTGGCTTCTTTGTTCAGACAGGCAGGAGGGAGGAGGAGAGCTGTTCTCCAGGCAGCAAAGCTTTTAGATAAACACCACACAGGAATTGGGTTCCTTCAGAGAAGAAACCAGATCCACCCGCTGATAGCGCCCCCGGGACAGGAGCGAGGGGTCTAGCCTGGGAAGCCTGGCACTGAGGGGGCCTTCTTTATCTGGCTCAGCACCTGCTGCCAGATCTAGCAGGCCAGGGGCTCAGGTGACTGGGCCCTGGTGCCAGACCCCGGCCCTGGCAGCTCCCAGGCTCCGGAATGGCTGGGCCCACCTCCTCAGCCTCCTGCCACTGCCCACTTCTAGACCTGCCAGGGCTCCAAGCTGGGAACTTTTTCTCTTGGGGTGACTTTGCCCTCTGTAGAGCCTTCCTTCCCAGACCTCGGGAGCAGCCCAGCCCCCATGCCATCAGAGGAAAGTTAACAACTAGCCACATCAGGGCAGCTGAGCACCTGCCGGTTCACCTGGACAGGTGGGTTCAGGAATTACTACAAGCCCAATTCACAGAGGAAGAAACAAACCCAGAAAGGTCATTGACCTGTCCAGAGCCCCCCAGGAGAGAGACAGCGAACGCCCCATCTCCCTGGGTCCTGGGCTGGCTGGGTCCCTCTCATGGCGTCCCAGGGTGGCTCACCGGTGTGGTGTCATCATGAGAGCGCTGGTAGCGCTTCCAGCGGCAGCCGTAGATGCCGGTGAGGCAGGAGAGGCACAGCTGGGGCTCGTAGTACTGCAGCGGCTGGTGTCTCACCATGCTCGTGCCCGCCGCCCTGGCGCCCAGCCCTCAAGCACCCATGGAGGCCCCGGCGGTCCTGTGGGAGGAAGCACAGGGCTGTGAGGCTGGGCTGAGGAGATGGGCTCAACACTGGCAGCGTCGTCATAGCCGAGGTGGGGGGGGGTGGGCAGCCTCTGGTCAAGCCCTGAAGTGGGTCCTGTCCGCCTGGAGTCAGGTCCCCAAACCTGTCCCTGCCATCCACTCATGACCCCATCCTGCCTCCTCCTTCTCCTGCCGACCCCTCCCGTGTCCTGCACCCTTGCCCAGCATGCTGCTCTTTCCTCTGCCTGGGAGGCTCTGCCCTTAGAAACCTGCAAACCCGTGTGGCTTCCTCTTTCCCTTCCTCTCTAAAGGTTTTGGTCAAATGTCTTCTTTCAATGAGTCTTCCCCAGATGACTTACTACAGAACTGGAACCTCTTCCTGTATTCCCTAAGCTCCCTCCCACATTCTGTTTTACTTTCTCAATCATTTTTTTTTTTTTTGCACCAGGGATTGAACCCAGGGCTGCTTTACCACTAAGCCCCGTCCCAGCCCTCTTTACTTTTTAAATTTTAAAACACTAAGTTGCTTAGGGCCTGGCTAAGTTGTTTGAGGCTGGCCTCAAATTTACAATCCTCCTGCATCAGCCTCCCCCATAGGGGCTGGGGTGACAGACGTGCACCACCACACCCGGAGCAACCATATTCTTAAACTTCCTTGCTTATTTTGTTTCTTGTCTGCCTACCCCATTATAAGTTTCATGAAGGCAGGATTTGTGTCTATTTTATGCCCTGCTCTAGCCCCCGTAACTGGAACTGTGCCTAGCAATAGTAGACTTTCAAAATAAACACTCTCAAATACATTATCATAACAGCTGACATGCACTGAACACTAAAATACAGCAGGCCCTGTGTACATCCACTGTTCCACCTGGTTGTCACAATAAGCTAAAGTGGCAGGTAGTGTCCTAAACCCATTTGACAGTTGAACAGATGAGGCTCAGAAAGTAAAAGGGGAATGCCTGGCCTGCAGTCACCCCTGGGTATGGTGGATGTAGGAATCTGCTCTAGTGCCCCAAGGTGTTCATTCTCCAGGCCCAGGGGCCCAGCCTGGCGGGGCCTGTGGGAGGCTGGTGGAGCAATGGAACGGTTTTTTTGGGGTTTTTTTTTTGGTACTGGGGATTGAACCCAGGGCACTTAACTGCTGAGCCATATCCTCAGCCCTTTTTTGTACTTTATTTAGAGACAACAGAGTCTCACTGAGTTGCTTAGGGCCTTGCTAAGTTGCTGAGGCTGGCCTTGAACTCTCAATCCTCCTGCCTCAACCTCCCAAGCAGCTGGGATTCCAGGTGTGCACCACCGTGCGCCGCAATGGCAAATATCTTGAGAGCTGAACTGCTACTGCCCCAGCCTGCTTGGCACCCCGGGGATACCTGAAGGGGTCTTGGCTTCTGAAGGCCAGTGTTGGTCAAGTGTGACCAGTGAAATTGGCTTGAGGCACCTCATCCCAAGTCTCAACCATCATGTGGCAGTTGTTATTGACAGTTCCACCCCTGGTCTGTGAGACTTCAGAATTCCAAGCCATATATTCTGATCCAGGCCCTGTCTTAGGCCAGGGAGACAGTGGGTAGAGGACAGGCCCGGTGGCCATTCAGGGCCCTTCCAGGACCCGTGAAGGTACAGCCAGGTGCTGTTCCAGGAGGCTGCCCTGTGTTAGCGCAATCAGCAATCCTAAGAAGGAAGTATCATTGCTGTTTTTTTTTTCTTTTTTTAATATTTATTTTTTAGTTATAGGTGGACACAATATATTTTATTTTTCTCTGGTGCTGAGGATGCACCCAGTGCCTCACACATGCCAGGCGGGTGCTCTACCTCAGAGCCACAGCCAGCCCTCATCGCTGTTTCTTTAGTGAGATAGAATTCACATGCTGTAAGAGCCACCCTTTCACATTGTACAAGTCTGTGTTGGTCACCTTCAATTTTTCCTATAGTCACAAAATTGTGCAACCATCCCACCACCCAATTCCAAAACACTTCCATCATCGCCATCAAGCCGCAAACCTATTAGTAGTCAGGTCCCCCTACTTACCCCAGCTCACCTCTGGACCCTGTAACTACTTTGCCTTCCATGAACTTGCCTATTCTAGAGACTTCAGACAGATTCATGTAACATGTAACCTTTCATGTGTGGCTCACTTCGTGTGATGTTTTCAAGGATCATCCAGGTTGTAGCATGGGTCACAACGTCATTCCTTTTTATGGCTGAATAATATTCAAATGTATGGATATTTCAAATTTTGTTATTCTTTTTTAATATTTATTTCTTTGTTGTAGTTGGACACAATACCTTTATTTCACTTATTTATCTTTATGTGGTGCTGAGGATCGAACCCAGGGTCCCGTACATGCGAGACGAGCACTCTATCGCTGAGCCACAACAATAGCCCACATTTGTTATTCTTTTTTAATCAGCAGATGGACAACTTGGTTTGTCACTGCTTTTTGGTTGCTATAAATAACATTGCCATGAATGTGGTTTTGTGTAGATATATGTTCTCATTTCTCTTTAGAAATAGATTAGGGATAGATTAGCTGGGTCCTGGGTCAGATGATAAATCTTAGGTTTAACTTTTTTTTTTTTTTTTTTTTTTTGTACTGGGGATTGAACTCCAGGGTGTTTTACCTCTGAGCTACATCCCCAGTGCTTTTTTAAAAAATTTGATATATAATTTAAGTTGCTGAGGCTGGCCCTAAACTGAAAATCCTCCTGACTGAGCCTCCTGAGTCACTGGAATTGTAGGCATGCATCTGTGTGCCTGGCTTACATTTAACATTTTGAGGAAGTGCCAAACTACTCTTCATAGTGGCACCACCAGTTTATGTTCCCAAAATATTATCATTGCCATCCTCATTTTACAGTTGAGAAATCTGAAGCACAGAAAGATTTAGCTACTTATCAAAGGTCACACAGCAGAGCCCAGAACTCACACCCAGGCAGTCTGGCTACAAGGGCCTTTCATTAAACCTGGGGTTAGCAAACTAACCCAGAGGCCACCAAACCCCACCTGCTGCCTTGTTTTATACAGCTCGAAAGCTAAGAATGTTTTATTTCTAATTATTTTTAAAATATTGTTTTAGTTGTGGCTAGACACAGTATCTTTATTCATTTATTTTTATGTGGTGCTGAGGATCCAACCCAGTGTCTCACATGTGCTAGGCTCCACTACTGAGCCATATCCCCAGCCCCCTAAGAATGGTTTTTACATTTTTAAATAGTTGGGGAACAAAATCAAACAAGAATATCTTGTGAGACATGAAAATTAGATGAAAGTCAAATTTCAGTGTCCATAAATAAAGCTTTATTGGACACAGACACACTCAGTCATTTATGGATTATTGTCTGTGGCTGCTTTAACTATAACTGCAGAGTTAAGTTGTTGCCACAGAGACCATACGGCCGGCAAAGCCCAAAATACTCACTGTCTGGCCCTTCGCTGGGAACGTTTGCAGACTCCTGCACCAGGCTCCACTGCTCCTGGGCCAGCGCTGTAAGTGCCACAGGCGGCAGGCACGTGGTGGGGGAGAGAGGGGCTGTGGACACTTGATGTGTGCAGGGAAGGTCAGGGCCTGCTTTCTGAGGAAGGGCCGAGCTGAGAAGAGCTCCTAAGATGCCTGTCTCCAAGTGCCTGCCGCCGGGTGCCCCTTGGGGAACACTGGGCTTTGGGCCTACTCACTACTTCTTCCTCTGGGCCTCTCCAGGGCCTCTGCCTATCTCCTCCTCCCACCCCCAACCCCACCACCAATGCTAACCTCAACCTAGGGATTACAGCCTCCGGTCCCCAGGGGAAGATGCATTAGAGCTTTTGCTGGGAATACTGAACGACCACGAGCCTCTTAATTGCTGGGAATTGTCTGATGCAGCCTCTGTCCCAGGGGCTCTTGGAGAGGCATGTGGAATATGGTGCTGCTGTGGAGACTTCCCTGAGCCCAGGGCCTGGGGGCAGCATGGGGTAGGGATGACTGCCTTTGCCTTGGCTTTGTTGGAGAAACACATAGGGGTAGGCAGAAAGGAGTCTGAGTAGCACAGCAGTGACCAAAGCTCAGCAAGTGGCGTTCTGGGAGCAGGAACCCACAGCCATGTCCCCAGTCCTTTCCCAGCATCCCTGACCATGGGCCTGATGCCCACAGGTCCTCTGCTGCCCCTTCCCAGTCACCTCCTTGCAACCCACCTGGGAATGGAAATTCCCCTTCAATTTGCAAAAGAAGGAAATGGAACAGCACACATCTCGCCTTGGCCCAGGGCTCAGCGGATGACTGCTGGGGTGACTCTTCTCTCCCCCGAGTGGGTGTGCGTCCTGCCATGCTGGTGGGACTCCCCTGGGAGACAGACCTCCCCTCTTTCCTCTGTGTGTCCTCCCAGCAGGGACAGCTCGTCCACTCCCACAGCTGCAGTTATCAGACCCTGCCAAGGTCACCCGGTCTCCGCCTCTGATGGAGATGGCCAGTGGCTGTTTCCGAGAGTGACACCCAGGCTCCTGCAGACCCACTCTGCGCAGTGACTTCCTCGCCATCCCCAGCCGGCTTCTCACACCCCTCCGGGCCCTCTTCTCACCATCCTCAGCCACTCCCCTGGTTCAGGCCTCTTCTTTCCCCTGGTGTCCCTGGAGTGGGCCCTGTACCTCCATTAGGACCTCCCTGCTGAAACCAAAGTGAACTTTTTCACCAGCCACGCACGTGACCAGGATCTGGCCCCTGCCGCTCCTCCTGCCTGGCCTCTCCAGAGCTTTCAGTCCCTTGTCTAGTTACCTCTTCCTGATCCTTTGAGTCTCAGCACAGATATCTCTTCCTCTGGGGGGAGTTTCTCCTGAGCCCCAGCTTGGTGAGAGCCCTCCCATAGCCCTGCATATCCCCCCACTCTTACCTGGGCACACCAGATAGACACCATTGACACGCCTGTCTCCTCCATGGGATGGCCTGGTTATCCCATGTCCCCAGTGACTAGCACAGGGCCGTGAGAAGACACTAAGGGCTCCCTGGATTCTGCTTCAGGGAGGACCC